AGCGCTCTGTCCAGTACCTTGAAAACTTATTCGGGTCCAAAGAAAAAGGTACAAATTAGGCTAGACAAAAACACTGTACGTACTTCCGTACGCTAGTCAAGCCCCGACACGGAGACGTACAGTTAGTCATTTCAGTGCGCGTAAAAGTTTATTTTCCGTTGTTCCATGTCTGATAATAATACTTTTCATTCTGGTCATGGTCGCGTATTCTCTTCGGTTTTGCACATTGTGTGGTCCTACAAGTCACGCAGCCTTCTTCCCATCATATCCCAGTATGTTCGATATGAATACACCACTGGCCCTCTTCAGGGCCACACGATGTGCAAAATCCGAACGGCAACCTCCACGTGCACATTGGGTTACGCTGATGTCGACGGTAATGAACGAAAATACAAGGGTTACTTCAAAATGCTGTAACTTGGCGAAAAAAGTCGCAGTAACTTCTTTTTTTTTTAATTGAAGGGAAAAGTACACACTTTTTGATACTTCGAGCAGAATTAGCGAGGAAAAATTTCCTACGCCCGGGCACCTGACCAAAGTTTTTTAGGTAAAAACATGTCCTTACATTTTAAAAGCTACAGCGGCGCAGATGCATTCCAGGAAAAATCTGGTGACTAGTTTTTGAAGCTGAAAGTGCAAGCTTTAATTAAAAAAAAAACGATCTTGCTACGATGATTTTTAACGGAGATATCGTCGGTAATGTCGCAAACACAAGGGTTATTTCAATGAGCTGTGATCTGGCGAAAAAAAATCGTAGGAACTTCTTTTTTTTTAATTGAAGAGAAAAGTATACACTTTTTGATACCGTAAGCAGAACTGGCGAAGAAAAATTACTACACTCCGCACAGTGCGTTAAAGTGTGCAATTTTTTAGAGAAAAAACATGATCTTGATTTTGAGAAAGTTCCGGGAAATGGGAAGAGTGAATGCAAATTCCAATAAGAGCTTCTTAAAGCAGAGGCTTTGCCCTATAAAATAAAAAAAAACTTTTCAATTCGACCAGTTTTCGCTAAGTTACGCTTATTTGAAATTCGTGAAATTTTGATGTAAATTTCTTGTTGCGTTAATTTTTTTGACCAGTGTATAATCGGATAATCTACTTACTAAATAACAAACGGATATCTCCATTTAAGGTGGCTCCTACATAAATCGAACGAAAGTAGAAAACATTGAAATTTAAGCATGTTGTAGTTGTAAATTTTATCTATCAGTACGGGAAGTTTCAGACCTGGTTGCCGATAAAATAAAATAAAGAAAAATGTTGAAGTATTTTTCAACATTCCAATAAACACTAACCAGTAACAAGTTGTAAGTAACAGTTACATAATATCAATATTATAATTTCCTACTCAACAAGATAATTGCAATATAACACCCATATGTTATATTACATAACACCCATATATTATATTACATTAACATTGTTAAGTAGAAAGTTATAATATGTATTTATATTATGTAACTATTACTTAGTGTTCACTAGGATAGGGATTATGGCCGATCACTCACAGAAGCACTTTGAGGATTAATATTACTATATAGAAAAAGTAGATCTTAACCAAAAACGAGGTGAACATGTGGGCCATGGGGCGCTGTTGCACGATTTTTGGAGACAGTAGCGCACCGGTACGGGGAGCCGGTAGAGTTAAGAGAGGAGATGATAGAACGGAAAAAAAGAATAAAGGTCTTCTGAAACCTGCTATAAGATTTCTCAAATTAATACCTAATGTAGGGCCAACAAATCAGAAGTGGGATAACGGCGGTTGACGGGATGAGTTGTAACGCTCAGCGCTGCAACCAGGACGTCGAGGAGAAGGTCGTAACACTGTGTGCTGCGACAACCGCCGGTGGAAAGTGGCGATCAACGGGAAGAGTTGTGACGCTGTGTACTGCAACTAAGAGTGGAGAGTCGTGGAGCTGTGTGCTGCGACAACATCGAGGGAAAAGTCGTGACGCTATGTGCTGCGACACCCACAATCGGCAAACCAAGGACGTTCCGTGAACCGTGCAGGCTAGAATCCAAGCAAGGTACGGAAAGATTGTCGAAACGTTTATTCGGTAATTATGAATCCGAATGAGTTAACGATTGAGCAAATAAAGAGTGTCTTAAGAAATAGACAGCTCCCATTTACGGGCCGTAAGGCCGAGCTAATCTTAAAGATGCAGGAGAACGATCCTACGGGCGAATGGGTCAATGAGGCGGTCGCGTTAAGCAAAAATTCGTCGGAGGATGTACCGGAAGTATCTGATGCGGATAGTGAACGGATAGCATCAGCATCTCAGACAACGGGAATTCGAGCTGTTACAGCGCGAACCGGATCTAATGGCACGAGAGATACGACTTACTTCGTAGGAAAACACCATCCTGAGATCGTCACTCTCATCTGGTAATTCGGCGAGATCTGTTCGTTTAAATGTCGATGTTAAAAGCATCTGCGAATTATTAAGCGAATACCACGGTTCCGGGGTTGACTTTGCAAGATGGAAGGCTCAAGTAATGTTGCTGCGGAACACGTACGAGCTGGACGACAACGTTACCAAAATTCTAATTGGTTCCAAACTGAAAGGGAAGGCCTTTAGCTGGTAACACTCGAAGGTCGAACATTTTGAAATGGGCACGAATGAGTTGCTGGCAGCCATGGCGTCTATGTTCGACCAACGTCCAGGGAAGCTGGAACTTAGAAAACAGTTCGAAGCACGCGAATGGCAAAGGGGCAAGGCTTTCGACGACAACTGCCATTAGAAACTTTTACTGGGAAACCGCATTCCAGTACCCGATGACGAGTTGCTTGATCATATAATTGAGGGCATTCCGTTGGCAATGTTACGAAACCAGGCTCAAATGCAATGTTTCGGATCGGTGTGTTAAGATTGTTAAGAGGATTTAAGAAAATCTCACTGGACCCACCTAGACGAGACACGGGAATGGTGAAGAGCGTGAGGATGAAACCACTGGCCGTTCCGCTCATTCGTACGTCGGGATCACCGGCGAATAAGGAAAACTTGAGCGAGAACGAAGCATCGTTGAGAGGCGCAGTCAAGTGCTACGGGTACAACCGAAGCTCGACACCGAAAGCGGGGAAGACTATACGGAGGTCTATTTCATCGACACGCACGCGGAGCCTCGGAATGAATTTCGACGAACGGTGGAATTAGCTATGGCGAAGAAAACTGTCAGGTCGGTGGCACGAATTGATTCCGGATGCCTGGTAGCCTGATCAAGGAACAATTGGTGCAGTCTATGCCGTGGCAACCGGCTACAGAGGAGTGGCAACGTGTTCGAGATTCATTTCTGAGTCTCGGGCAGTTCGTCACCGGCGTGATGGCAGCATCAGCCGGGTCAGATCGTGCAGCGCCGCAGGAGCGCTGCGCGCGCATGCCCGATCGCGACACGAGGCGACGGCGCTTCTTCACGTACGTTACCGGCTTTTGGCTCATGGCAACCGTACCTAGTACACGCGTCGTGTAGTGCTTAAGACTTTTAGAGTGCTCTTGTGGACTCTTTCTCATCCGAGAATTGACTCAGTGCGGACAAAAGTGAACACTCAACAGTGCGAATCATCCAGGACCAAAGATACAGCATCAACGGCAGCTCAAGCTCACCACGCATCGCACGCCGGCGCCGCGTGGACACGGCTCACGGGCATCTACATTCACGAGGCCGACTCTCGATCAATAATATCGAACCGCGCAAGTGAATTAAAGACTTTTCATCCACCGTTAGTTCATAGACTGCTCAACTGTAAGCATATTACCCTTATTAAACTGTGACACGATATTTTACTCAAACGATCCGAGTTACAATCACGTGATATTCCACCCTATCACGCGTGCATTCGTTCCTTGAGCCTCTCACCGCTAAGTCCTCACCCTGCTTCCATCCGCAGCGGTAACCAGCGAACTCTCCTAGCGAGAATCGCTAACATTTTTTGGTCCTTCGAGCCGGATAGCGGCGAGGCTCTCGGACAGATTAGCTCAACCACGCAGCGATCACGTGATCGGCGGCGCGCAAGGATACGGTCCCACTCAGCGACCACGTGATCTCACGGCCCTTTCGTGTGATCAGCGGCGCGCACACACACGGTTCCACTCATTGATCACGTAATCTCACGATCCTCGCGCGTGACAGCTCATCAGCCGGTGAGACCCGACAGACACACTCACGCTTGCCGGACATCTCACTCCCCAAGTTCACCGGGGAGTATGCCGCATGGCCTGCCTTTCGAGATCTCTTCTCAAGTCTGATCATCTCAAACGAGCAGCTCACAAACGTGGAGAGACTTCATTATCTCCGCTCGGCGCTCATATACACAGTGACACTCATCGATCATGTGATACCACGGCTCTCTCACGTGTCATCTCACCATGTCGGACGATCATAAAACGGGCAAGGCGGACCGCCCGGTGACTCAGCAATTGGAACTGCGGCCGGGAGATCGCTTCTCCTCGAGGACGGCGTCTCCGGTTCGACCCTCCACGGAACTCGCCCTGAGGGTGCAGACGCAGCTGGGTCGGATCTCTACTCTCAAGGACATCGCAGAAATTCTCCCGAAGTCTCCTGCAAGAGACGCACAAGGCGTTTCTCAAGGAGCACACCTACTTCAAGGTCTCATGGCCCTCTGCGCTCCCTCATCACGAGGATTTCTCGGGGAACGCTCATCAGGAGGAAACGCTGTGCCACACACAAGCGCAACGCATCATCTGCGTACTTCGCCACTCACTGACAGCTTCGTCCGCTCAATCAACCTGTGGTTCATCGGTCACGCCCTCAAATTGAAGAGAAGGTGCAGTCGTCGAGATCAGCTCACACGTCCGCTCATCCTGCTCAACGTTACTCGCCACGGCCTTGGCAGTGATCAGCTCATCCACCACTCATCACTCAGCGCGTCTACTCATTGACGCAGGATCCGAACTCACCTTCGTCACGGAGAATCTCATTCGGCAGCTCAACATCCCTCGTCAATACTCAGGTATTGCCGTCAATGGAATTGCAGGCAAAGAATGTACTCGGACACGAGGAGTCGTGTCGCTCACGTTACGCTCGACACATTCCAACGCAGCTGCCACAATTCAAGCTCATGTCCTCCGGACAGTTACATCAATCTTACCATCTTTCGAGGCGGAACCGGAAGAATGGCCGCATCTCAGGAACTTGACATTAGCCGATCCAGATTTTCTCACCTCTCGGCCAGTTGACATCCTCATCGGAGCAGACGCTTACGGACGAATCATCAAGCCCAATATTATTAGGCATTCTCCACTCATGCCGATAGCGCAACTCTCCATTTTTAGATGGCTCGTTCTTGGACCAGTCAACTAACGAGCAGAGGTGCGAGAAGCACTTCAAGACTACACACTCTCGTGATTCTTCAGAGAGGTACATCGTCAGGATTCTACTCAACTCACCAGTAGATCTTTTGGGTGATTCTTACAACGTCGCTCATCAATGTCTGAAGGGATTACGCAGACGATTCTCAACGGATGTGAATTATCAACGTCTCTATCAACAATTCATGATTGATTACGAGACACTCAACCACATGACGAAGGCATCATCCATCTCTAGTCATCGCTCACATTTTCACCTGCCACATCACGGTGTTCTCAAGCCTGACAGTATTACAACGAAACTACGGGTAGTTTGTAATGGCTCTAGCGCATCCACATCAGGCGACTCGGTCAACGACTTCATGTACACTGGAGCAAAGCTACATCTGAACATTTCAGATGTTCTACCATGGATACGTAGACATCGTTACATTTTCGCTACGGACATCACCAAAATGGACAGACCGATTCAAATTCACAAGGATGACTGGGAGTTACAGCGGATACTCTGGATGGACAATCAGCTCAATGAGGTGCCATATCATTCAACAACGGTTACCTACGGGACGAAGGTCGCACCATTCTCAGCCGTACGGACCTTGTTGCAATTAGCAGAAGACGAAGGACATAGTTTCCCACTGGCTGTGCCA